TGTGGGAAACTTGTATGGTCCCCAAACATCCATGTGTAAAAGCTGTAAAGGACCACTACTTCTTGTAACACTTCTAGGAAAAACTAGTCTGCTCTGCTTAGCTAATGGACATACAGAACAGTCTTTATTATCATCTAGATCATTAAGCTGTAAGAAATCTATGTTTTTCATTGTACTAACAGAGGTGTGACCTAATCTTTTGTGCCAAAGAATGCCATCTACTGCTGGTTTCTGGACTACTGCAACTGATGCTTGCCTCAATCTTCTAGCAATGTGCTCATCCTTCACCACATACAGGCCTCCCATTTCCTTACCAATCCCCCTCACCCTGCCACTCCAAAGGTCCTGAAACACACAGAAGTCAGGATAGAGGTGGACAGAGCAACTGAGTTCCTTTGTGAGTTTTGACACAGACAACAAATTAAATTTGAAGTCAGGAACATATAGCACATTCTTAATCTCCATATCCTTAAGAAATGTTGCACTACCAATATGAGATATATTTGTCTTCTCACCAGTAGGTAAATGAACTTGGTCACTACCAATTTTCAACTAGTTTTAGAATGTAATATATCTAGGGAAGCAGCTATGTGATGAGTTGCACCAGAATCAACTATCCATTCTTTACAAGGATTATCAGTCATTAGTGCAGTAGCAATACCTGCTATGTTGACTTGTGGAATTGTGGTATCCTTATTCAGCATATCCAGAATTTGTTTGTATTAGTTCTCAGTAAAGAAGTGCCCTCCTGCAGGACCATCATTGTGTGCTTTACCACCAGCTACATGTGCATGTTCCTCATGATCAGCATTGTTAGTTGCATAATTGGCCACAACTTTCCTCTTAGCATTGAAATCTGCAGGATACCCTATCAACTTGTAGCACTTTTCCTTCAAATGACCAGTCATCTTACAATAGTCACATTTTATGAATGTCTTTTTCCTTTGTAACCTTGTCCTTGTCCAGCCTGCATAGCAATAGGATCTCTTCTGACTCCCAAGGCTAGATACGGATTTGACCTTTGGCTTTCATCCTCAATTATCAACGCATAAGCTTGATTCAAGGTTGGCTCGTTTTCATCAAAATCTGCCTCCTTGCTTGTTCATAGGTCTCATTCAGACCACTGAGAAATTGAAGCAGCCTTTGACGATGAAGGTGCTCAATGTAGTCTTTTGGTTTAGCACACTCACAACCTGGCGTGGGAACTAAGGCATCATACTCCGACCACATTTCCTTCAGTCTAGTGAAATAGGAGTCAACAGAGTCAGTTCCCTGCAAAATTGTTGCAATTTCTCTGTGTAATTGAAAAATTCGAACTCGATTCACCTTATCAAATCTCTCCTTCATGTCTACCGAAACTAGGTGCGCATCTAATGCATAAGCTATTTCACTAACTAGGTTTGTTGATACATTGTTCATGATCCATGAGAGCACAATCGCATTGCATGTCTCCCATTCCTCAGGTAATTCCTTCTTAAAAGTCTCCTTCTTACATGTACCAGTTACAAAACCTAGCTTTCGCTTAGCTTGAAGAGCAATTCGCATCGTCCTTCGCCATATCAGAAGGATGCAGAAACAAAGGATGAGTGTGATCAATTTTCTCCTCTGCCATCACTGGACTTTGAGCAAGAATTTGTACCACACAAACACAGAATTATTCAGCTAAGAAGCAACCAGTATCGATTGCTCTGATACCATGTGAGTTAAGCTGATCTCAGTCACAGCTCATTCTCCATTAATGGAGGCTCCAATGAATGAATCGAGCTTACAGTAAAGATGATGAATATCAGAGAGAATAATGAGAGAGGAAGTTTCTAGTATATTGAAAGTGTATGTAAAATCTGATATACATCACATATATATACATTTACAATTGCCCACTAACTTAATCCCCCAATTAACTAGTGCTAACTACCTTAACTACTCTAACTAACCGGTGACAGCTGGCTGACTGCTCCCACTAACTTGTCCAGCTGTCATTCCTTCACATTCTCTCACACCATCAACATCTATTTTAGGTTCCACCAAGGGGCATATAAACCTCGGACTCAACTTCCCTTTCTTCCCAAATCTCATAACGACGCCCTTCATAAGCGAAACTCGAAGCAGGACCCCCTCTCCAACCATATAGGAAATATCAGAACCTTCCGGTCCGCGTAACTCTTCTGTCTGAACTGGGCTGTACGGAGTCTATCCTGAATCACCTTAACCTTCTCCAAAGCATCCTGAACCAAGTATGCGCCCAATAATCTAGCCTCGCCCGGCTCAAACCAACCCACCGGGGATCTACACCGCCTACCATATAAAGCCTCACACGGTGCCATCTGAATGCTGGGCTGGTAACTGTTGTTGTAGGCAAACTCCGCCAATGGCAAGAACTGATCCCAAGACCCTCCAAACTCAATCACACACGCACGGAGCATATCCTCAAGAATCTGAATAGTGCGCTCGGACTGTCCGTCCGTCTGAGGGTGAAATGTTGTACTCAACTCCACCTGAGTACCTAACTCATGCTGTACGGTCCTGCAGAACTGTAATGTGAACTGAGTACCTCTATCTGAAATGATGGAAACTGGAATACCATGTAGACGAACAATCTCCCGGATATAAATCTCCGCCAGCCGCTCCGAAGAATAGGTAGTACACACAGGAATGAAATGCGCAGACTTGGTCAGCCGATCCACAATCACCCAAATGGCATCGAACTTCCTCAAAGTCCGTGGGAGCCTAGTTACGAAGTCCATGGTGATCCGCTCGCACTTCCACTCCGGAATCTCTATCTGCTGAAGCAATCCACCCGGCCTCTGGTGCTTATACTTCACCTGCTGACAATTGAGGCACCAAGCTACAAATCCAACTATATCTTTCTTCATCCGCCTCCACCAATAGTGCTGTCTCAAATCCTAGTACATCTTCGCGACACCCGGATGGATGAAATACCGCGAACTATGGGCCTCCTCTAGAATCAACTCTCGAAGCCCATCAACATTGGGTACACAAACTCGATCCTGCATCCTCAATACCCTGTCATCACCGATAGTCACATCTCTGGCATCGCCATGCAGAACCTTGTCCTTAAGGACAAGCAAATGAGGGTCATCAAACTGACGCTCCCGGATACGATCAAACAAGGAAGACCGAGAGACCACGCAAGCTAGAACCCGACTGGGCTCCGAAAGATCCAACCTCACAAACTGACTGGCTAAGGCCTGAACATCCATCGCCAAGGGCCTCTCCGCTGCTGGTAAATAAGCTAAACTCCCCAAACTCTCTGCCCAGCGGCTCAAAGCATCGGCCACCACATTGGCCTTGCCCGGGTGATACAAAATAGTGATATCATAGTCCTTCAGCAGCTCTAGCCATCTCCTCTGACGCAAATTAAGGTCATTCTGCTTGAACAGATGCTGCAAACTCCGGTGGTCAGTATAAATCTCACAAGGCACACCGTACAAATAATGACGCCAGATCTTCAAGGCGTGAACAATAGCAGCTAACTCGAGATCATGAACATGATAATTCTTCTCATGTACCTTCAATTGTCTGGACGCATAGGCAATCACCATACCGTCCTGCATCAATACTGCTCCAAGGCCAATCCTCGAGGCATCATAATAGACAGCATAAGACCCCGAACTTGTAGGCAATATCAAAACCGGGGCTGTAGTCAAAGCTGTCTTGAGCTTTTGAAAGCTCGCCTCACACTCTTCCGTCTAATGGAGCGGAGCACCCTTCTGGGTCAGCCTGGTCATAGATGCTGCAATAGATGAAAACCCCTCAACAAATCGACGGTAGTAACCCGCCAAGCCAAGAAAACTACGGATCTTTGTCGTTGAGGATGGTCTGGGCCAACTCTGAACTGCTTGCACTTTCTTCAGATCCACCTTTATCCCCTCACTAGATACCACGTGACCCAAGAATGCCACGGAATCCAACCAAAACTCACATTTCGAGAACTTTGCATATAACTTCTTTTCTCTCAAAGTCTGAAGCACAGTCCTCAGGTGCTGCTCATGATCTTCCCGATTCCGGGAGTATACCAGAATATTATCAATAAAGACAATGACGAACGGGTCAAGATATGGCCGGAATACACTGTGCATCAAATGCATGAAGGCTGCTGGGGCATTGGTCAGCCCAAATGACATAACAATTTTGAATCTTCCATCCATCATCTCTATCACTGAAATACCGCAATATCATCGTCTCTCACACCCACTACATGGCCTCTTCTTTTATTCTTATCCACCACTAAAAAAACACAAACACCATGGACACAATACATCATCTTTGCCTATTCTTCTCTAACCCCTGATTTGAGTCAAGCACCGGGGCTAGTGTTTGAAGAAGAGAAATGAGATGACCTAAACAAACAAACAAATATACATAAAAGAGTTGTAGCGTAATTAATAGTAAACAACACTTCACCCAAAATAATTTTCCTTTCTTAAGGCATTACTATTTGTCACTATATATATTCCCCATATATATGACACACTTTCCTGTTTAATTTATTCTTAAAAAATATTGTATTTTTATATTTAAAAATAATTTAAACCTATAAAATTTGTGCCTAGGTAAACAGTGCCAGCTTCAATAATTGGGGCGGAGGGAGTAGTATACTAGTATTTGCTAAATATAAAACCAAAATCAAATGTCTACTATTATTAAATATAAGCCTAAATTAAAGTACACTAGTAGACTAAAAGTATATTAACTTGTGCTAGTAGGAGATAGCGCGTACCTCGTAAAATTAGTTGAAGTGCCAGCAAATTCCACGACTTGTTTTGCTTTAGTTTACTTGTGTGGTTCATTTCCTTCTTTTTAAAACCTGATAGTCTAAATCGCTAAACTTAAAAAACTTGTGGCTTCCTCTGCAGTTATTAATTACTCTACTCTGTAGAACCTCCGATCAAAAGTTCCAAGCTTCTCTCAGAAGCCTCAAGCGGCGAACAAAAGGCCAATCCTGTCATTACCCACATCACAAAAAAAGAGCGTCCCCCCCCCCCCCCCTCCCTCCTTTATTTCAGTTTCGCGCCCGCTCAGTTCTATTCTCTCCCGCTTCCTTTTTTAGGGTTTTGAAAAGCTCTTCCGCTTCACTTTCAACTCACTCTTTCTTTTTCTCTGTCAGTTTCTCGAAGAAAAAAGTTTTTCGCCGGAAAAAATGCCGCCGATAAACTTGACGGAAGGTGCGATAGCGATTTTAACGAACGGCGAAGCACATTCGGAGGATTTTAAACCGGTGTTACAAATCACGGATATTCGGTTAGTGAACACTCAGAATCAAAATAACAATAACGAACGCTACCGGATTCTTTTATCGGACGGGGAGTTTCTTCAGCAAGGGATGTTAGCTACTCAAAAAAACGATCTTATTCGGTCTCAACAGATTCAAAAAGGATCTATTATTCAGATGAATCAGTTCGTTTGTAATAACATCCAAAATCGAATGTAATTTCTCTGATTTTCCTTCAATTTTGTCAATTTATATGATATAAATGCTTGAAATTTCGAATTGCATATGTGCACCTTGAGTGAGTTTTTACATTAAGATGCTTTGCCACAAGAACTGTGTATTTTTGCTTGGAGATATATATGATTATTAGGTTTGATAAAATCAATTGCTTATACTTTTTATTTAATTCGCTGTTGTTATTTGCATGCGCAAATTTTAGCACGAACTCCCGTATTGCTTAGGACGGTCAAAGCAATGGGAGAAAAAAGGTGATTCTGTTCAATAATTTGTGTCTGTGAATTTGTTTTTATCTTCTTTACCTTATAAACTCAAAAATCGTGGGAGAGTGGTGGACTCTTTCTTTTTTGTTGATCGTTATTAGGGGGTGTTGTTGCGTGCTTGCTTATAGCTTAGTTACCTAGGATTGCTTTATAAACCTAATTAAGAATAGGCTCAACTTGGGTTTAAACTTCTGTGTATATGGTAAACTTTTTCCTATTATAACAGGGTTCCTTAAATGTGTATATGGTGCAGTTCTGTGTATATGCTTTGCTCCTGCAGTTGGTGTTGCAACTTTTTAGGTTTGTAGATTGGCTTTTCCTCTAGTGACAGTGCTGTGATTTGAAGCACAGCTTATATGTGTATAGTTAGACCCTAATTGTTAATTTTTCCTCTAAGGTGAGTGGATGACACTTTTGTATGATGAGCTTTCTGAGATTGGCTCTTTCAAAAATAATTAGCAAACAGCTGACCTGCAACCCCAGCATGCCAGTAATTTCCAGCTACACTTTCCAATAAGAAACTATATATACACACACTTCATTTTTTGTAAGTGTCTTTGAAAATCATACTTGTAGCTTTCAGTGTTTGTTTATTGATTTTTCTTGTCTAATTCTTCAAACAGGATCATCATCGTCATTGAATTAGATATTTTACATGAGACATGTGATACCATTGGAGAACCAAAGCATTATCTCCCAAATGGTATTAGTCCTTCAGTGCCTCGGCCAGCTGCCCCACTTCAGCCTTCCACCAATCAATCAGGTGGTTTAAGTGGCAGCCCTCAATCCTTTACTGCTGTTTCAGCTACTTCAAGCTCAGCTCCAAGACCAAATATGCCTGGAGGGATGCGATCTCCTGAGTCAAACCATAGCATTGGTTATAATACTTCCTCTGCTGGTAATATTGACTCTGGAAGATATAGTTCAACAAGTGCACCCCTTTACCCCAAAGCAGAATCTGGTCCAGCGATTTCACGGGCTCCGACGAATAATTATGTGCGGCCACCTCAGCCTTCTTATCAGCAGCATCCTCAGTCTTCTTATCAGCAGCCACCACCGTTGTACTCAAACAGAGGACCTATAGCCAAGAACGAAGCACCGCCGAGGATTGTTCCAATTGCTGCTCTCAATCCATATCAGGGTCGATGGACTATCAAGGCCAGGGTTACTGCTAAGGCAGAACTCAGACACTACAACAATCAAAGGGGTGATGGAAAAGTATTCTCTTTTGATCTTATTGATTCTGATGGAGGAGAAATAAGAGTAACATGCTTTAACTCTGTAGCTGACCAATTTTACGGCCAGATTGAGCCAGGTAGAGTGTATTTGATTTCCAAGGGTAGCTTGAGACCAGCTCAGAAAGCTTACAATCACCTTCCAAATGACCATGAAATTATGCTCGAGAGCACATCAGTGGTTCAACCTTGTTTTGAGGATGACAGGACTATTCCTCAGCAACAATTTCATTTTCGGCCAATCAGTGATATTGAGGCCTTGGAGAACAATAGTGTGGTAGATGTGATTGGTGTGGTGTCTTCAATAAGTCCATCTAGCTCAATAATGAGGAAAAATGGTACAGAAACTCAGAGAAGAGTTCTCCAGCTGAAGGATATGTCTGGCAAAAGTGTTGAATTAACTTTGTGGGGAAATTTCTGCAATGCAGAAGGTCAAACACTTCAAAGTATGTGTGATTCTGGAGCTTCCCCTGTTTTGGCAGTCAAAGCTGGTAGAGTAAATGATTTTAATGGCAAATCTGTAAGTACTATATCTACAAGCAAGTTGTTTACAGAACCAGATTTTCCTGAAGCTCTAAAACTGAAGGCATGGTTTGAGAGGGAGGGAAAGAACACGCCATCAGTATCTCTTTCCCGAGAAGTGAGCAGCATTGGTCGGACAGATGTGCGAAAAACTATATCTCAAATCAAAGATGAACGATTGGGCACTTCCGAGAAACCAGATTGGATCACAATAAGTGCCACTGTTACATTTATAAAGGGTGAGAATTTTTGCTATCCTGCCTGTCCCCTCATGATAGGAGATCGACAGTGCAACAAAAAAGTGACAAATAATGGGGATGGGAAATGGCGGTGTGACAGGTGTGATCAGACTGTTGATGAATGCGAATATAGGTACATTCTTCAGTTCCAGATTCAGGACCATACTGGCTTAACCTGGGTTACTGCATTTCAGGAATGTGGTGACCAGATCATGGGTGTCTCTGCAAAAGAACTGTATTTCCTAAAATATGAGGGGCAGGATGATGATAGATTTACAGATATCATGCGTAATGTCTTATTCAACAAATTTATCTTCAAATTGAAAGTGAAAGAAGAGATGTTTAGCGATGAACAGCGCGTTAAGTCAACAGTGGTCAAAGCAGAGAAGCTGAACTTCCAATCAGAGATCCGGTTTCTGTTGGATTTGATAGACAAGAACAATGGGCTGGAATCCAGTACTCTGCCTCCTAAGACAGATGATACAACTCCAACTTCAGGGTATGGTAATGCTGGATTTGGGAGTAGAACCATAGAACCGATGAATCCTGTTGCAAATTATGGTGGCAGCAATAGCAGTATCAGCAGAGAAAGTGGACTGCAGGGAAATCAGCAAGGTCAATACGGAAATAAGTTTACTGGCTCACAGTTTGCTCCACCTGGTTCTACAGGCATGTATATGAGCTGTAATAGTTGTGGTGGAACAGGCCATAGTGCTTCAAACTGTCCAAGCATCATGAGTGGTCAGGGCCAGGCATATGGAGGTGGCTTTGGCAATAGGGGAACGTCAGGAATGAGCAGTGATGGTGCTTCCGGTGAGTGCTATAAATGCCATCAGTTTGGACATTGGGCAAGAGATTGCCCAGGTGTAAGCAATGCACCCCCTGCCAATAACATGACCCCTGCTTCAGGAATGAGCAGTGGTGGTGCTTCCGGTGAGTGTTATAAATGCCATCAGTTTGGACATTGGGCAAGAGATTGCCCAGGTGTAAGCAGTGCACCCGCTGCCAATAACATGACTCCTGGAAGATATGGGAATCCTCCGCGGCAACGTGTTGGTGGATTTTGATCAACCTTTGAGCATATATGGATCATCTTCTGCTTTAGAGAAAGCTTCTTGACGCTTGCATTTTGCCTTCTTTCTATACAGTGACTACTTGGGGCTGAAATTTTGTGCTATTGTTCCTGAATGCCTGGGCTTAAAGTTGTCCTCAGTTTTGAGGAGCAACATGTTTTTGCTCTTCCCTGTAAATTATTTCCTGTTTAAGTTTTTCTTGATCTCTTTTATTGTTCTTTTTAGGTAATCTGTCTTTGTGGTTTCGTCCTTTTAAGAGCAAAATTCCTGTGTTATAGTGTAGACTGCTATATTAATGTTATGTATCTTTTTTCATCTGTGATGTGTCGTCTGTATTCATGTCTTGAATACCTAATAGTTGGGTAATAAGCTTCATATTCGATAGCACTCATAAGTGATTCTGGTATTGACCAATTATTATGACAGTGAGAGATGAACAGTGTATTTCTTTTAACGTATAGTTCGGATTTTATTAAATCCTCAAGGCTCTCACCTACCTATTATCCGACAAAATAGTTTCTGTTAAGTAGTAGGTGTTCTGTGGCTGCATCTGAAAGGTGCAAAAGGTCAGTAATCTGGCCTTGTTTTACCATCCATCTGCAATGGTTTTATTACGATCTTGAATCAATGTCGTGCTCTTATGTTTCTCTGGGCACACTGATGGTATTTTGTGTCTTGATACCTGTGTATCAAGTTCTGGAAGAACACTTATAGTAACGGGGAGCAAGGACAACAATGTAAGTATGTCATATTTCTTTCTGCTCTTTAGACAAATATGCAGCATTTGATGTATGCCGATTCCCTTTCTCTTATGTGCTGGTTTACCAAGATTTTACATCACTATTCAAGATTAAAACTAATTTTTTCTGCTATTCTTAATTCTGGTGTTTCCATAGGTTAGGTTATGGGATTGCGAAAACAAGGCTTGTGTTGGCGTAGGCATAGGTCACATGGGAGCCGTTGGTGCTGTTGCTTTTTCAAAGAAGCAACGAAACTTCTTCGTGAGTGGTAGTAGGTAAGTGATTATCCCTGAACTCTGCAGTGAGCATATTCTTCTTCTGCATATGCCTGTATAAACTTGTGGGGGCCGGCATCTTTTCCAAACTACATTTCAGGAATCAAAATTATGTGTCCTAGAAGTCTATGTTTAACATCAGTTTTGAATTTCGGCTCACGATTAGGAATTTGTAAAGGCGAAGTTTCGAGATCCCGTGCTTCTTAGAATATAGTTGATAATAGAGTCTTTGCCATGACTGTTGTCCATTACAACTAAAACTATTATGCGTTGCAAAAAATATTGCCTAAAGAAATACAGGTGAAATGTGACTTGACTGTCCGATCTCCTAAAAATTGTTTTAGTGGTTCAAGCCTCCATGTTGTAAAGTGGATTGATCAAATCTCTGTGAATATTTATGCTATCGTTTGGCCCTTGAATGAGCCCATTTATCTCCTAGATACTTTGGTAATAATTCTCTTCTGAATTACAGTGCTCCTCTTTCTTTTTCTTTTTAATCTAATTATGCTACTCTGATGCTTCTGCTTGCTTGATATTCGTATTAAGTACCACGAATAAGATTTAGTGCTGAATCGAGTTTTCCCTTGGTTCTGCTGACTTGAGTTGATACTTATTTTACTGGTTGGGTGCAAATAAGATAAAAATCGCCTTTGTGTCTGTGAACAATTTATTATTTAGCCTTAAATCGTATTTTTTTGAGGCTTCAAAATCTGTTAATGATGATTGCTGAAGCAAACTTTTGTAGACGCATTGGTAGGCAAGACTTATGGCTGAAGGAGAGTCAATTAAATTAAGTATTTGATTTTATTTTATTGATAGCTTTCTGTTCTGTTATTTATGTTACTCTAGAATAAGTTTGCTTTCTGAAAGATCAAAGTTCTCTCTTACATTGAGCTCTAAGGTTCAATCTCCCTTTAACGAGCTGAATTATACTCAAAATAGGTCGATCTAAGAGCTCAAACAAATGGAAGGGAAATTCGATGACAATAGGTTTAGATTTTCCTGTTCATCGTCCTAAGACTCGATTCTTCTCTAGAAATCCTAACACAAATTAATCTAAATGTTTCTTTTATCATATTTTCTAGAAGTTATATCTTTTACCATACTCTCAAGATATGGAATATGGACGGTGTCTCCGGCAACAATGAAGAAATTATAACTCTGAAAGCGAAAGCAGTTGTAGCAGCACATGACAAGGATATCAACTCTTTGGCAGTAGCACCAAGTGACAGTCTTGTTTAGTGGTTCCCAGGTTTGAAACATTGAGACATCTTATTAAATCTTGGCGTAAAACGCTGCCAAAGGAGACGACTTTGCATCTTTGCTTGTATATTTTTTATTCTCGTCCAATTTCGTCATATTTTACTAGGATCGCACCACCTGCATATGGAGACTTCCAGACCTAGTGTCAGTGGTTACACTGAAAGGGCATAAAAGGGGGATATGGTCTGTGGAGTTTTCTCCAGTTGATCCATGCGTGATGACAGCTTCCGGAGATAAGACCATAAAGATATGGGCCATATCTGATGGATCATGTCTTAAAACATTTGAAGGGCATGCATCAAGTGTGTTAAGAGCATCGTTTCTTACCCGTGGAACCCAGTTTGTTTCTTGTGGTAACATGACATCCCGAGGCCATTATAGCTTCATTGTGTTGTTTTTTCTGTTTCTCATAGCCTACTTTTGCTAAAAGATATGAACGTCTCTCCAGGTGCTGGTGGTTTGGTGAAGTTGTGGACAGTTAAAGACCAATGAGTGTATTGCAACATATGACCAACATGAGGATAAGCCGATCAAGTATTTAAGTTATTTAATTTAAATATCTATTCTCTTATAATAGAGCTATCCTTTTGTCTCTCCATCCTGGAAAAACTAGTTGATCTAAATTAATGAGCCGACTTGAGCACAGTTAATTTGGTTCTTGAGTGCTGCTATGGTTGCCATTAATGTAGTGACATTTGACTGCATCACAAAAGATTAAATGAATAAATTTTACAACTGTCATTTGCATTTGGCTTACATCTTCTTGACATATATTTTCCACACAAAGGATAATTAAATGCTGTTTTCCCCTCTAACTGTCAATCTAGATATGGGCCCTTGCTATTGGTAAGAAAACAGAAATGCTTGCAACTGGCGGTGGTGATATGGTGATCAATCCGTGGCATGACTCAACAGCTTTAGATAAAGAGGAAGCTTTTCGTAAAGAAGTGTATCTGAAATCATATTCATCGAACAGCAATTGTTTGGTATTACTTGATAATTATAATTCTACGAAGGCATTAGTTTCTGTGGCAGAAAAGATGTTTTATGGGCGTTTAAGTTTGTAATGCGTGCTGTTAGTTTACTTGATTAACGGTATAACCTTGTTATGTGCTGTTTGCTAAAATCTTCAAGGGAATTTGAGAACTAGTTCCGCAATAATTTAAGATGCCTATGGGTTTACAGGCAACAGCAACAACATACCCATTAATATCCCACACTGTGGGGTCTGGGGAGTGTAGTGTGTACGCAGACTTTACCCCTACCTTATGGGTTTACAGGCATATTATGAATATCATGGATTAGTTAATTAGGTGCTATTAGCTATTATTTCGTTTAATTATACTGTATAATTACTACAGAACTTTCATGTGATAATATTATGTTGCCCGTGCAGGAGGAAGGCATTCTACGGGGTCAGGAGTTAAAAAATGCTTTAATATATGCTGACTACACCAGAGCCATCCAGATAGCATTGGAGCGTCGAAGACCGCATGACCTTCTAGATATATTTGGTGAAATCAACAGGTAGTCCGGATTTCTCCTTTTTTTTTTTTGAAAGTGATGGTTTTAAATTTGTCTTCCCTTTTTGGTTATTTGATAGCTTATGTAAATGCTATTGTATCACTACTTTTGTCTGACATCTAGCTCTTGTCAGGGAGAGAGATGCTGGAGATCAGTTAGGAAAAGCACTTGAGGCTCTTTCTAAAGAAAAGGTCTATTTGCTTTGGGAATATGTCAAGGAATGGAACACGAAGACAAAGATTATATCATATTGCACAGCTTGTTTTTTGGGAATTTTTCACAAACCACTATTGTTTAGTGGTTATTAGCTAGTTGTAGCTACCATTTAATATATTACTTTCTATAGCTATGTTTTCGGTCTTTTTTTAGAGTGTATTTGATGTATTTAAGCTACTTTATTCATGAATACAGTAGCAAAAGTCGGCGCGAAACACGGGGCTACAACTGGATAGACGAATGCAAAAGTCGGCGAAAAATATGGGGCTACAGCTGGATAGACGAATGTATGTGGGTGTATGTGACTGTATTCGACTTTATGTTGTAACATAAACTGTGCAATTTCAAGTCTATTCAGATTTTTTTTAGCGGGAAGTGTATAAAAACATAATAGACTCCATATATAACTCAACTAATCCAATTACATCACCCATAATCGTTTTTTACGCGAATAATCTGATTTTTTTCCTTAAACGTTATATACATCAAAACATAGCATTGCCTATAGTCTGTTTCTTCCCTTTTCTGTTTTTTTTCGTGTATGCTTTTGTGTTCAATAAATAAAATAGAGAATTGATACATTCATATATAGAATCGGTCAACCAATTACATATGGTAAGTTTAACAGTTTTGCTGTGTCATTCTGGCAAGTGGAACAGTGAGAGGGACTATGTCGATTATTTGATTCAGGGGATAGTAATAAAGAAGTATCGTATAATGATTTGGTTTCTTCGATTTCTAAACAACTCGACATAGATTTGCGATCAAAGTCAATCAAAATCGAATACAAAGTAGATGGAAATTGCACGCCAATGAAAATACGTAACGACATGAGTTATAGGGTGTATGTAGAGTTAAAAAAAGTGAACAGAGAATTCAGGATGTATCCTTTGTGCATAACTACAATTGACAAAGATGTTGTAGCTGGAGGAAGTTTAATTCTGGGCGACATTGTGCAAATTGACGAAGCAAATCAAAGGTGTAATTTTGATATAGATTATACACTTGCTATCGAGTCTTTCAACTCAAGAGAACCAATTGAGGTGTTCGAATTGGACACGAATTTGATTATTTTAAAAACTAATCAAAGAGAAATTATGGCTGGACTAGTATATAAGGATAAGGCTACATTGAGAGAGGTGATGGAGCATTATGCAATATCTGAAAGATTTCAATTCCGGGTTGATAGGTCTAATGCTATCAGGTTTGATTGTTATTGACTGCAACTTGTTAAACGTCAAGTTATATTCAAATTTATTATTATGTAAAGTGAGTGTGAATTTGTATATTGTTTCCATGGCAGTATGTTTAAGTTGTATTTAGATGTATTTAGGTTTGCTTGGGTATATTTACATAACTTTCAAAATATTAAACATATAATAATTATTAACGTGAATACGGTATACATGTATTTGTCGGGTATTTTAATGATGAATACTAATTACAGTGACTTTCACATGATGTTCGTGAATGTATTTATATGTATGTGGTTGTATATATATAATTATATATTATATTGATAGTAGAATTCTTATTTATATGTATTCAGATGAATTTGGATGTATATTAATGACTTTGCATTAACGTAGATACACCTGTATTAAATAATATATTACAGTGGCTTTCTATGTTTGTTTTTAGATGTATTTATACGTATTTAAATGTGTATATATATAGTCTTATTCACATGTATATGTGTGTATTTTATAATAATGTATATATTTGTAACAATGTATTCGCATTATATTAGTTAATTGTTAATCATTTATACTCATCGTATATATTCCGAAAAAATTATTTGCAGCTATACATTATTATGTATGTCCGAGGATTGTGAATGGAGGTTTAAGGCATCTAGCATTAACAAATCACAAATGTTCAAAGTGAAGTTTGATGATAAGCATACATGTCCGTTGAAGGATAAGGTGTATGAGCAACGTCAAGCAACTAGCAGTCTTATAGGTGGTATGATTAGGTCCAAGCTTACTAATCATAAGAGAAAATACACCCCAAAGGATATAATTGATGATGTAAAATCAGATTCTGGTGTGGATGTTAGTTACATGTTGGCGTGACGGGCTAAAGAAAAGGCAATGAATTTTTTGAGGGGTGAACCGGCTGATTCATACAATAAATTACCAGGATACTTGTATACAATGGATATGACATATCCTGGTTCACATTAGAATGGTAAAATCCCCACAAAATGAGTTCATGTATGTGTATATATCCTTGTATGCCTTTATAAAGGGGTTCGACCAATGTAGAGCATTGTGGTTGTGGATGGAAGCCACCTAAAATCGTATTACACTGGGACTTTTGTCTCTGCCAGCACGTTGGATGGTGCAGGTGAGTATGAGGATTATAATAAAATATGATAATATTACTACATATTAAAGACTGAAATACATATTTATAATATGTATGCAATTGTCTTTACAGGTCATATACTGCTACTAGCATATGGTGTTATTGATTCAGAGAACGATGCTGCTTGGACGTGGTTCTTTGAGCAATTCAAGGAAGCATATGGTGAGAGGGAAAACATGTGCATCGTTTCAGATAGGAACGAGAGTATCATCAAGTCTGTATCAAGAGTGTATCCAACAGTACCACATTTTGCTTGTATATGGCATCTTTGGAACAACGTATATAAGAAATTCAGAAAGAGTCATTCAAAGTTGAGCAAGATATACTTCTCGATGGCAAAAGCATACGCACAGACTGAGTTTGACAGTCTAATGGAGAAGGTGGAGAAGGTAGATATTAGGGTGAAAGAATAGTTGGAGTTAGCTGGATACGAAAAGTGGGCTAGGTTGTATGCACCTGTTAACAGAGGATGGACAATGACGTCAAATATTGCTGAGTCAATCAATGCCGCGCTTGTGTCAGCAAGGGAATTGCCAATATACGACTTCCTCGAAGAGGTCAGGAAAATGTTTAGACGTTGGAATTGCAGCAATCGGAAAGAAGCTTCGCAGACATACACAACACTTGGGAAAAAAATACCAGGAGATGCTTACCTTGAATGAGGCAATGTCTACACGAATGGCTGTAAGTTGCTTTTCTTTTAAGTCATTGTATCCTATATTTAGCCCTGGTACAAGGTGTATTTATTTCTGATACAATTTCAACTATTCGAAATACATAACTTATGTTCATTGTATCGTTAGTTGTATATAATGGTTTTGTTTCTAACCATATGTATGTCATAAGCAGATAGTTATTGTATATAACAGTATTCATCAGTCAAGACTCCTCTTTAATATTCTGCCAGCATGCATATAGTATGTATTCCAAGGCATTCAATGTATTTAACTGTATATACTTGTATGTCTTTGTATTTTATATATACAGATATGTTTGTATTTAATACATTTGTATTTTAATTTAATATATATTGTCATTCTGAAAGCTAAATAAAAGTTTAATACTCTATATTAAAATCATATTTAATTTTTATATATATATATATATATATATATATATATATATATATATGATTTATTTTTTTAAATCATTCAAACTAATAGGTCTATGTTTAAATGTAGGTGGTGCCATTGACTGAATACTTGCATACGGTGAACGATGAAGGAAGGCATTACACCGTGTGCCTCTTAGAGAGAAAATGCAGTTGTGGGCGGTCCAAGTCGACGAATTACCATGCCCACACGCTTGGGCTGTCTTGAAGAGCAAGTTTCTAATGCCAGAAGATTATTGCTCTGACTATTACAAACCAAAGTCTGTTGTAATGACATATGAGGTGCCCGTGTATCCGCTGCCGGACCGGAATATACCAGCACATATATCAGATGAAGTTGTATTACCACCCAAATGGAAAAGACCTCCTAAAAGACCAAAGAAGCAGCGCGATAAGCCGTTCAGTGAATTGTTGCAGAAGAAAAATCAACATTCGTGTAGTATATGTGGGCAGGAAGGACATAATAAGCGTACTTGTAGAAATGCTCCACGTAGAAATCAGTTCACATTCTGACTTGTATTAACGCTATAACGATTTGCCATAGATTCTGGTGACATTTTGAAATGCTACATGTTGGCTTTTTTCGCGAATATATTCCGGATATATTTAGTTGGTGCATTTAATCTGAATACATAATTACAATACGGCTATTATATTAATTCATGATCTCTGAATACAGATGAATACAATCTGAATACATAGTTGGTATATGATCTCTGAATATTAAATATATGTATTCGAATACATCTGAATACAGATGAATACAATCTGTTATATACATACGATATGATTGTATTGTAAAAAGATGTAATATTTCATTCATCAGAACTGATTCTTTTTTTTAATACATATAAATACAACTAAATACAAAACGACGTTTCGTATCAGGGAATGTATATGATCTCTTAATATTAAATACATGTATTCAAATACACCTGAATACATATTAATACAATCTGTTATACACATATGAAGGTCTAAATATGTATTGTATAAAGGTCTCATAGACTTCTAATATATGTAAATACATCTAAATATATATGAAGTCAACCTGTAAAATACATATGAAAAAAACCTGTGGAAAATATGTGAATATAACCTGGTGAATACAGATAAATACAACCTAATAAATATAGATAAATACAACCTGTTGAAATACAGATGAGTACAACCTGTTAAATTAATGTGAATGCAACCTGTTGAATCCATATGAATGCAAGATGTTGAATACAGATTAATACAATATGTTGAATACATATGAATACAACTTGTTGAATACATATGAATACAACCTGTTGATTACAGATGAATTCAGATGCACAAAAACATTGAATACATCGACTGAATACTTGAAATGACCATATATAAACACTGTTGACACAGTGAATAAAATGAAAACATAATTTTTTCTTAACTAAACACCATCTTTACCAAGACACTATCCAAAAAACTGTATTCACAAAAAACTACCATCCAAAACTACATTCACCTATGACTACTCTAACATTATCTTAACCGACGTATCCGAATCCGTGATTTGCCTAACAATCTTTGAGGGTGCTTAGCTCTCGCTTATGGCATCATCGTCTATCTTCCGCATAGCATAGTCCCAAAGGAGGGAACCATATCTTTGACGGAG